CATATATATTCCAATTGCCTCGGCGGTAAATACGGACGAATATGATGGAAGAATTTCGCCAGTAATAGTTGTCCCGTTAGCTGTGGTAACAGCATAGGCAGTGTTAGTTAATTTGGACGCATGAAATTTTGAAAATTTCTTTAAATTTTTTATTCTTATAAACGTTGGTTACTTCTAAGAAGTTTTGTTGGAACTTGTGTTACTGGCGGTGGATTTTTTGAAATTATGTAGAGATGTATTTATCAGCCATTCATGTTGAGTGTTGGTTGTATAAAATTTCGATGGGATATGAATGTTTGAAGTTTTTGCAAATTGAAGACAGCGGCGGAGGGTAGACTTGAGTTGAAAATTGCTTTTGCGTTTAGCTGCAAGCGTTATACATTTCTGAATGCCAGTGTTTGGAGAATTAAGTATTTTTGGAAGAAGTTGTATCGTTTTTTTGTAAACTCTTTCCTTTATTGACGGTAAGCCACTTTCTCCTAAGATACATTTAGTTGGTGATGTAGGAAAAGCGTTTAAACTACGACGTTTAAACTACGTCGTAACTACTGCTTAATGTTTGTGTTCGAGCACCAACCGTAAATCGGAAGGCCATAGTCTATTTTAGAGAGTATTACGGCTCTTGTAATATTAATAAATGTATTTGTATGTATAAATGACCGTTTGCTAGATAAAYACTTAATTATGTTTAGTCTACTGGAAAGCGATTTTCTAAGGTTAATACAGTGATACTTAAATGTAAACTTATTGTCAAAATATATTCCTAATATTTTTAAGTTATTAAAGTATTGTCAAAAATTAGATCTGGGTATGAACATTTCTTTTTTTTACAAATATGTAATAATTTACATTTAGAAGTTGAAATAGATACTCCGGAAAGTGAACCCCATTTTTTGAATTTCGTAAGTATTTCATTGAAAACATCATTAGTTGCCTGCGGATCTTTCAAATTAGTATAAATAAAATCATCATTGGCATACATAGTTACATATATTAATATTTTTTATATTTAGGCAGATATCGGTGAGTTTATCAAACGCAATAATAAATAGTACTACGGATAGGGGGGAGCCTTGGGGTATACCATTGTTTACCTCGGAAAAAGTATTATTAACACGAATTCGGAACTGTCGGTGAATCATAAAAGCATTTATTATTATCATAAAAGCTTTTGGACCAACCTTCCAGTCTGCAAGTTGGCTCAGTACTGCGTGAACGCCAACGCGATCAAAGGCTTTCTCGGAGTCGGTAGCCAAGATTGTGGCGTGGTTTTTTGTGGCCATCGAGTCGGATACAAAATGTTACAGTTGCAAAAGAGAATCGGTTGTACTTTGTCTGCTTCTAAAGGCAGTTTGATTATGTTTGATACGATTATTTTTAGTAATGAACCAAATTAGACGCTTCGCAATATTTTTTTCAAACGTTTTGCTGAGGCAAGAAAGCAAAGAAATAGGTCTATAAGAAGAAATCAAGTTGGACGGCTTATGTGGTTTGATTATTGGAATGACCGCGGCAGTTTTCCAAGCATGAGGATAGTAGCGTTTCGCAAAGATATTGTTGTAGAGGGATATTAGATTTTGGTTGGCAATTAGAGGTAGATTTGATAGCATCGGATAAGATATAYGATCGATGCCAGGTGTTTTGCCTTTGGCATGTACGAGTGAGGATTCCAATTCACAGTATGTTATCGTATTGTCTAAGTGAATTGCCGGTAAGGAAAAGTTTATAGGAGCGTAGTGCATGGAAAGCCAACGATGTTTTTCCTGGATGTATTCTGCATAAAAGTTGCCGTCAACTGAATATTGAGACCAATGTTGTGCAAAAGCTGCTCCAATATCTATGGAGTCGCATAGAACTGTTCCCTCGGATTGAATAATTGCTATATGGGGTGTGGGGTACTGGTTAAAAGTTTGATGTCATGCCAAATTTTTTTGGAGGTTGATGAAGGAGAAATATGCGAGGTAAAAGTTTCAAAATTTATTCTCTTGGCTGCCTTGGCCGCCCTTTTGAAGTGAGCATTCGATTTTTTAAAGTTAATTATATTTGCATCGGTTATGGAATTTCTTAGAGTTTTCCAGCATTCAATTTTTTGGGTGCTGGTTAGAAGTTTGATGTCATGCCAAATTTTTTTGGAGGTTGATGAAGGAGAAATATGCGAGGTAAAAGATTCAAAATTCANAAGTTTGATGTCATGCCAAATTTTTTTGGAGGTTGATGAAGGAGAAATATGCGAGGTAAAAGATTCAAAATTCATTCTCTTGGCTGCCTTGGCCGCCCTTTTGAAATGAGCATTCGATTTTTTAAAGTTCATTATATTTGCATCGGTTATGAAATTTCTTAGATTTTTCCAGCATTAAATTTTTTGGGTGCGAAGATCTTGAAGCTCTTTATTCCACCAAATGGGGGAGGCTTTGGAAATGTTTCTTATACTTTGGGAAATTGATTTGTTAGCTGCTGAGCGTATAGTTTTTGTAATAAAAGAGGTTTCTTGGTTTATATTGCCTGTCGGGGAATATTTCATACTATTTAATATTTCTGCTTGAAATTTGTCCCACTTAGATAAGTTTGTCTCAAATCGGGGGAGGTGAGTGCATTTTGTAGGATGTAGGACAGTAGCAATATTGATTGAAATTGGGAAGTGGTCACTACCTTTAAGTTCGGAAAAAACACTCCATTCGATTCTCGGAGACAGTTCGGGAAAAGAAAAGGAGAGGTCTACATTGGTGAACGTTGAATGAGTTGAAAAGTGGGTGGGAGCGCCATTATTGAGTAATGACAATTGGTGGTTGGTTATAAGGTTTTCAATTATCAAGCCCGTTGGATTTGATTTGGGAGAGCCCCAAAGTGGGTTCCAAGGATTGAAGTCGCCAACCCATAGAAAAGGTTTGGTAAGCTGATAATATATACACCTTAGGTCGGATTCGTTAAAAATTTGCTGAGGGGGAATGTAAGTATTAACAACACAAATTGGATGGCTAAGTTTTAATTTTATTGATATGGTAGACAATGTTGCAGTAATATTAAAAATTTCATGAAGTATATGTCTTTTAAGTGGTATACCAACTCCTTGTTTTTTAGTACATATGTTGTTTAAATTACAAAAGTAACCAGTGTATTGTTTGGGAAAGTATGTTTTTTGGATATTTGTTATTGAAATGTGMGTTTCCTGAATACATATCACATCTGGGWTCTTTTCTTTGATAAGTAATTGCAGCTCGTGGTAATTGTTCCAATATCCATTCATGTTYCATTGGATGATTTTTAATACCATTGATAAAAATGAGCGGATAGCAGAACGTGAGAATATGTATTTATGTGAATAGTCGTATATGAGTGTTTCGTTATTCTACCATTTCGTTTTCAGATGTGTTTTGTTCTTGGGTAGCGAGAACTTGAGAAAGAGTTGGGAGAGGTTGATAATATGATAATTGAGAGAAAGAGTCTGGTGAAGAGGTGAATTTATATTATAGCTTGTTTCTATTTCGTTTTGATCTGTGATTGGATATGAGATTTCCAAGACTGGAGAGTTGGAAGAGTTATTTTGTTTGTTGGTGATGATAGTTGATGGAATGTTACTATTTCTTTTTATTGCTGTATCAGATTCTACTTTCAGGGAATCTGGTATGTTGGCTTGTTTGCTAGGAGTGGTGGATATGTGGAAAAGGTTTAAATTGTCAATATGGGTTTGTGTTTTGTTTAAGTTTTTTTTATTGGCATTAATGTTGTTTTCGTAAATTGTTGTGTTGTTGGAGTTGATTCTATTGTTTGGTGTGACTGCGCTATAGCTTTTACTGGTTTTGCTTGTGTTTGTAGTGGATGCAATGGCATTTATTTTTTGTATGCCCAAGAAACTGACAAGATTTGCATCGCATGGGGAGGGGTATATATTGGCGAACTCATACTTTGCACCAGGCGATATCGATTTTATTGGGTAAATTATAAAGATTAAAAGTAAGCAAGACCACTCCGGATGGTAATAATTTCCCATCGATATATTTTTTAAATTTGAAGTATATCCTCCTTGGGAGGATAATTCTTTAATGATTTCCTCCTCTGCAACATTGTTGAGAAAAGGAGCGTATACGGTACCTTTCACTTGGTTCAGTGATGCGTGTAGCGTGGCTAATATAGGACAGAAACCTACCAATTGTTTTACCCTTAGAAATTTTTCGGCTATTTTGTTATTCTTTACCAGAAGCAATAGTTTTCCATCACGAAGAGTGGATATGTTATGCACTTCACTGCTAATTTGTTTAATGGCATGGTATATTGCGAAACATGAGTAGGATGTAATAGGTCTGGAGAGATCAGTAGCTTCAATCACAATAAGTTTTGGGTCGTCTGCTTTATTTTCGGGAAGAAATAGGAATCTTCTAATTAAACAGTTATTGGAGGTTTGCGTTTTTTTCTTTTAGGTCCCGTGTCAAGTATAGAGAAGCGATTCTGCCTGATATTTGATGGCCTCGGAGCCATCATACACGGGTAAAAGTTTATGTTTTTGATGTTAGAATGCTAGAGAGCAATGTAAACACGAATAATGAAAGAAATAAAGCACTCGCGAGCGGTGAAAAACGAATTAAGTAGTAGATGAAATTAAGAAAAGCACTGCGTAAGCGAAAAACAAAAGACGTCTTTACGGCACGAGAGATAGTCGATGACTCGTTGAAGAGAATACATAAATAAAAACTAACTAAATTCCCCCTTATAATTAAATTGTTTCTCAAGTAAACTAGTGTCTTAGTAAACTTAGTGCTCTTGTTTCAACTGTCGACATCGGGCCGCCTAGGAAAATGCGGTCATTCAAACTGATCATTCAAAATTCAGTTCTTGTATGGACAACTTTTTTTATTAGACAATATAATTATTTATCAGATCAATCATATACATATGTAGCTGCTATGCAAACTGATCGATTCAAATGGAGTTAAATATCTATGTACATAAAAGATCTTTTTTCATGATTAGAAAGATTTAGCAAAACCTTTTCCATTGGTTGTAAACCGGTTACGGTTTCAGATTTAGTTTTTATGTTAGTATACATATACATATATAAGTTGCTAGGGGAAATGCAGCTGTGATGTGAAAGGTATTAAGGCTTCATTCCATCAGAATACATATACTGATGGGAGTTATTTTTATACTCTTAAGAAATGTTGCTACACGATATAACAGTTTTGTTCACCTTGTTGTTTGTATCATATAAAACTATTCCAGAGAGATATCGAGTTATATATAAATGAACAGGATGGCGAAACGAGTTGAAGTCCGAGTGACTGTCGGTCTGTCCGTCTGTACGTTTAAGCTCCACAATAAGACACAAGGTGATGTATCCGCCATAATTCTATCGAAGATATATTTAATGTATAGTATGTGTGCAGATGATGTGCAAAACGTTTAACAGATGATCGAAATTCGTTGCATTAGATAAAGCCACTTGGGTATTTGAATATTTAATCAATTATGTATGTATATAGTGTATAACAATAGTTATTTGTACAAAACTAATATACCTTTGTTGCAGCATGTTACGAGAGTATAAACCTTAAAATTACACTAGCCTCTGACTGCCTCGTATTCAGTCTCTTCGTTTTCATTGAGCAAACATTCATTACTTGTATATCTTTTGCACATACGTAATATATTTATGTAGTGAAAATTTTATTATAAGCTTAATTATCTTGAATAAAATTTTTAAATATCGTTTGAGTAAATTTGTCGATGTCTATATATCTATTCGCTTGCAATAACTATCTATCATCTATTATCTACCGATTTTCGCCGATTAAAAGTTTTCCTTTAAGTATAGTTCGTATAGTCTCCTCTTTTTGAAATAGTTTCTTTTGCATTTTTTCGATCTCTTGCAGATGACGGGCATGCAGGCCACGTACTTGTGACTCTTTATGCTTCACAATGGTTTCAAGACGTTTTAGAGCATCCCATGTACTTTGTATATTTACTTGTCCTTCCTCCATTTTATGATTCCATTGCAAAGCAATTCGCAACCGTGCCTTCAACCGATCTCTAGAGCGCTTGATTTTTTCGGTAGTTCGCTGAAAAGAAACTACACTATTTTGAAACTCTTCTATTGAAGTGCGCTGTTCTTCCAGTCTCTTCTCTAACGCTTCATTTTTTATTCTCATTTCAGAAATTTTCCTATTATCTTCCACATGTTGCGATTGAAGTTCTTCAATAGATTTCACGAGCATATGTTTCTCGTCCTTGTACTGCTCTTTCAACTGTTCTAAAAGTGCTTTACACTCTTGTAAATCGTGCTCCATGCCATCAGTGGCATTCGGCTTGAGACTTTTGAGCGCCAATAGCTCGTTCTTGCAGCGTGTATAAGCCGCTTGTAAATGTTCCAGATCTAAAACCAGGGATTGAATTTTTTGCTCATAACAATGCATTACTTCCATTAGTTTTTCTTTGGCCAAGTCTGATTTTCTTGTTTGAGCTTCAACTTTTGCGCGGCAGACATCGATTTGTGCCTGCAATCGGGTACGTTCTTCCCGCCAAGAACTAACCTCTCGACGAAAGCTTTCGTTTTGTAGCAATAGACTATTATTTTCTTCTAGTGCCTTTTTCAGTTCCCCTGTGAAATGTTCAAATTCCTGTTTATATTGTTGTATTAAGTGTTCTTTATCCCGAATCATTTCATCATACGAATGTAGCAACGGCGCAAGTGAATGTGTTTGTACATCACTCTCTTCCCACGTTGATTTAGAAGACGAATGTGGAACAACATCATCCGAACTTGTGTTATTTGTAACATCTTTAGAAAGGCGCAAACGATCTTGATAATTTTCAATTTGTACATTAAGGCGATATACAAGAGTCTTCATCATTGATACATCAGACGCTAATGTCTGATTTTCAGTCAAACATTTATCTCGTTGTTGCATTAGTTCCTGACAATGACTACAATTTGCAACTTCGAACTGCAAGCTCTCTATACGATCCTCCAGGGTATGTATGTGCGAACGAAGCTCTTTGTTTTGTACGTCAAATTGTTCATTAAATTTATGTAAGGTGGCTAAACGTTGCAACAATTTTTCCATTTGTTTGTCTTTGGATTGCAACTGTAACGAAAATAGAAAACTCATTCCACTTTATTTGAAAATATTGAACAGTTGTGTTATTAGATTTTACCACTTCATTGAAGTAACTGTTAATGCGGATACTTTGTTTAATACTGGGTTCATGTTCCTCAGAACAATTTTCAGCAGATCGAGAACGGCGATTAAAGTTGCCCGAAAAGGTGTGCACCTGTTTTTCCGAGTAATGTTTTTTGTGAACTTTGTGATTTGAATCATGACAGCTTTTTATTTCTTGCATTTGCTGGCAGTCAGAGAGATCCAGATCCGTAACGATTAAATGTTTGCGTTGAATTTCGTTTCGTACCGAATTCATATTTATTAAAAGATTTTTCTAGTACATTAAATTGACTTCACTGACTGGCATTTCATTTCTACTGTAATAATTGCAAGAACAAAGTAGTATACAAAACAATCATTATACATCTCCATGGTGAATACTAGAAATATATGTATGTATTCATACTTACATACATACATATGTATGTAGCATTTTTGGGGGTAGATGCATGTCATTTATTAACTTTCATTGAGACAAAATATATGTAGGTCTTCAATAATAACATCAGAGCCGTTTTGCGTTTAATTAAACTTTTATTTATTCCTTCCTTGGTAAATAAAACAAAAAAATTTAAATTATATCGCTTTTTTGTTCATGTTTACGAACTTTAGTTAAACTATAAAAATATTTTATTGTAAAAATAACCAAAAGTTTGTTCAAGTTAAATTATTTTATTTTACTTTAAGGATACGTAAATGGCAGTAGAGGTAGAAAAAGCTCATACTGTCATATCTTATAATTGAAGTAGAAAATTAGTGACTCGCTTCGTTTCGCTTTGGGTTAAAGGCTATTCGTACATATGTATGCGTGTATTATTGCATAAAATATATCATATTTTCAGCTAGTTAGGTTGAAAATTTAAATTTAGTTTTATAAATTTTCCGATCTTCTCCAATACACCAGAATACACAGATTGCATGAGTTGTTTGTAAGCTTCTTCCCCCATTTGCATTCGCAGTGTATTTAATTGCCATTCCAAATATTCTGTGAGTACAATTTTATGTACTGGATCTTTAAGAGATAGCTGTCTACAGCGATCATAATGATAAGTCTTATAGTCGAAATCGTCCATTATACAATAATTGCTTGTATCCAAGTCATGTTCATCGAGAAAAACTAAAGAGTCGCAGAATTTGATTTCCTTCTCGCCAGTTGGACGGGGCGGTGTATTTACAACGATATCAGAACAGTTGATATTGTCAACTTCGTTATCTTCTTCGCGCATCACATCCATAAGTGTGTCTCCAATATTTTGCATAATTGCTGGAAACCGCTCTAGTAATATTAAATTATTAGTAAAGATCGATGCGAAGGATAGCGCAAAAAGCTTTCGTTTTTCTACTTCCGTTACCAACGGCATCTTACGTATCCACACGTCAAGTATAGTCTCTAAAGCATTAGGCAACTGTAATTCCTGCAAAACTGCAGTGAAAACAGATTGATTAATAAGCAATACTCTTGCAACCATCATCAAATACATTGACATCAGAATAGGAAATTCTTTGTCCAGGTACACTTGCTTAAAAATATAAGGCAAGGCGGGTCGTACCAATTCCAATCCATAATTTGCATCTGACTTTAAACAAGTTTCGAACACTTTAAGCATCAATGTAATGCCTTCTGGCCGCAAATCATCGAACATTCGAGCACAAAACTGGACAAATTCCTTTCCATAGCGTTCAAGAAATAAATGTGCATCCAAGAGTATGTATGCTTGAATGAGGATCAAAACTATTCGCAAATTTTCCGACGACATTTCAATGATAGGCAGAAGGTTTTTGCATAAATCTAGCAGTTCTGTAGACATAACTGTCGAATTCTCTACAACGGCCACCCAAAGCGCCAAACCTTCCTCCATGAGGTATATGTATGACAGCTCCTAAAAAAAACAAGGAAAGGGAATTGCAAATTACATATCAAATATATTAATCATTAAAAATATATCGACTTTTAACAAAAAAGTCTCTTCCAAAGAAGTTAATTAACTTAATTAAATAGCAAGTGAATTTCTAAAACTAATCTTTAGTAAAAATTGGAGCGGCATAAAAAAATTCTCTAAATTGAATAAATTCGTGGAAGAACTCGATATTTAATGGGAATACTGTGATAATTAACCAAATCACTTATGTGTTCGAATATAAAAACATTATATCACTATGTATGTTCTAAATTCAAAAAAAAAAAAAATAAAATTAAAAAAAAAAAAAAATAAAAAAAAAAAAAAATAAAAAAAAAAATAAATAAAAAAAAAAGTTTATTCCGAATATGGAAATATCGATGGTATTTGTACTTTTATCAGTCAATTAATTTCTGCTTTAAGTCCATATAATACTTAGAAGAACTGCAATTTCTTGTAAATGAAATTTTTTAGCTAGTTCCATCGACGTTATTCATAAAATATTCCATTTTATAAATATCCATTTCATGTGTTGTGTATTTTAAACAATGAGGATTGAGTTTTCATTAAGCAACACAAAGACCATTTAATGAAAGAAATAGGAATAATTACTCATTACCTATATCGCTATATTATGTTAAAATCGCATTTTTTCTCAAATTACTCTTACAAAAATATCAGTGTTTAGCATTAATTTTGATATACAGAATACAACTGAAGTTAATTGAATTTGATAATTTTAAGTATTACCTGAAGATCAGTGCTAAGCTGTATAACGTTGTAGAGGAATGGCTTCATAGATTCCGGTATATCACGCAATGCTTTTACTAGTTGCTGTAATGTGCATATGATAGCACATCTTAACATATTGAAGTCCTCGCTTTCCTTCCACAAAAGTGGCAAATACGATATTAGATTGTCAGCCTGGAGTTCAATGTTGTCACTCATTTTTTCTACAATACACGACATTATTGTCAACACATTCATTTTCGTGTCACATTCTCTAGCTTCTCCCAGGAGTACAAAAAGTGCATTAAAACAAGGTTCTAAATAAGGTAGGAAATGCTCGGGTGCAAATTCAAAGTCTCCAATTAAGGTAGAAAGTGTACGGGAAGCTGCAAGTCGTATAGACATATCTTCAGTTGGACGAAGTAAATGTAGGCATGCTTCGTAAGCCAAAGGACGTAAGTTTCGTGAAAATTTAACGGCCGCCCATTCCGCTACTAACCATATAATTCTTCTGCGAAGAATTCGAAAATTATCGCTTTCAATCCGCAACTCCCCCAATAGTTGATTACTAAACCAAGAGTCAAAGTCAATGTCATTGAAAAAGTGAAATGATGCTAATCCTGCAGCATTATATATGGCATCTTTCTGAAGCATATCTTTAAGATCAGATGCGGGGGTTAATTCGATTTGCTGAGCTTTTCGTATATACTTTACAACCTCAGACGTCATTTGAGACTGGTATTGACTGAAACATGTTAGAAAAAATGATTCAATGCATGGACGAAGAGCATACTTCCAGCTCTCTCCGCCATCATCTTGAGCGAAGCCCTCTGGATCTTCCAACCATTGATCTAGCTCATTTTGCGTTAACAAGAAATAATGAGTTATAACTTTATCTGAAATATAACATAAACGCTCGTTTGTAAAAAAATCTGATAATGCTATATGTATAGCTGCGTCCTGTTCAGCTGCTAGATGTTCACCAGTAGATACTGAATTTGCACTACACATCATTATCCGTTTCATAAGATTGATGCAATGAATTGCAAAGTTGCTGAAGTTTATGACATTGTCAGTAAATATTAGACGAGCACCTTCATGGAAGACATGTTCAAAGCTAAACTCTAGTGCAATAGAAACAAAACGTGCAAATGAACTGGAGTGCATATCTTGAAATTCAGTTAACGTCTTCATTTGTTTCAATATAAACTTTTCAATTAGTCTTATTAATTGTTCTTCAGCTCCAAGATGTTGTAATTCATAACGACAATCTAAGCATTGCTTAAGTCGCGTAAATAGCTGTTCTAGAAAGTGCATGCAACATTCTACCTTAAAGGGCTTCGGAAAACCATATATTGTAAGTTTTCGTAAAATTCGCGTCGTTAAAAGTGCACGTTCTAAAGTTGATATTACATTTATAGATGCCGTTTTGAGTTGATGAAAGAAAAGTGTTGTAAAAGCATCCCATAATTCTTGCATGTATACGAATAAATTCCCCGCTAGTTCTTCAAAAACTCGTTTTTCTGCCATCATGCGTCGAGATGCCAGTGCTTTTATCACATGATGAAGAACAAGTAAGACTCGCTGTTGTTCTCCAGCATCGCCATCACTTTGTGCACACATTTGTAACTGTTTAAGTAGCTGAGGTATTAACTCTGGCCAGTCACGAGGGCAATCAATTCGGGCTATGCGAGCAATAAGCACGGCAATTTGTAAAGCCACTTGTGGTACTGGTTCCGTACTAAAGTTTTTCAATAATACCTGACGTATTTGTTGTTTTTCTTCATTAGGCAGTTCATTTCGAGCATTTCGCCTCCAATACTTATTTATGCCGTTCTTTAAATAAACTGCAGCCATCCATCGCACATTCAAGTCAATATGAAATTGATGTTGCTCGATATCATTGCCACCATGCATGGCAAAATGTGCCAAGGTAGAAAAAAATCCTGGCTGCGTTTCCCATTCTGCCAACTGAGCTTCAGCCTTAAGAACAACCTCATGATTAGGGTCGGTGGCGGCACGTAATGTTTCGCACACCATCAACTCGGGAGAAGCCAGCTCTAAGTTCATCCCCTGTGAATTGAATTTTTAATATGTAAAGCATAAGTAGACAACCGAAAGATTCTTCCAATTTGTAAAAAAAAAAAAAAAATACTACAATACATACAAAAATACTTCATTAACGCTTTTGAAACGCTTCTTTCTAGTTGCTCCGGGTTGCTTACAAAATCGATTTAGTTTTCCACAATTGTATTTGTTTTAATTCTTATATCGATGTTGATGGATTTTGACACCAAAATTTATATGCAAAAAGCTTAAAATTACATATGTTGGTGACTATTTGACACCAGCTGCCAATTCAATTGTTGGGTACGTTCAATTCAAAAAGTTATTAGCTGCGTTTCATGACAAATATTGAAAAGTTTAGAAATACATTTACAATCAACGTAGTTATTTCTTTTATTAACAAGTCTCGTATTGTATAATCCCAGCGTACACTTTGATATAGAGTAAATATACATATGTACAAATTTATTTCTTCTCGGTTTTATCACATGTAAACAAAATTCAGCTATTTCGCGCTGATAAAACATTTCGGATGAAATGGTAGCCCTAGAATAGCAATAAGCGAGCGGACAACACGTAGCTGTTTTATTGATAAGAAGTGCATCTGCTACGAAGAGTTTTGCAATGTTGAAAGCTGTGATCCTTGTTGGAGGCCCACAAAAAGGTGAGTCATTTGTTTCAAAGTCTCTAAAAATAATCGATTTATTTGATTTTAGGTACTCGCTTTCGTCCACTATCTTTGGACACACCGAAGCCTTTGTTTCCAGTAGCCGGTCGACCAATTATACAGCATCATATTGAAGCCTGCCTACGTTTACCGGAATTGAAAGAAATTCTTATTATTGGGTATTATCCCCAAGTTCAAATGGAACATTTTGTCAGTGAGATGCAAAATTTATATAATATTAATATTAGGTAGCAACGAAAACACTTTGAAATATTTGTTTTTGTATTCAATAATTGCGTACTTTTTTAGATATTTACAGGAATTTACCTCGTTAGGTACTGCAGGCGGCATGTACCACTTTCGCGATCAAATTCGATCCGGAAATCCTTGTGCATTTTTCATTTTAAATGGTGATGTGTGCGCTGATTTTCCTTTGCAAGATTTATATTCATTCCATAGGCAGCATGCTGATACGGCTCTCGTGACCATTATGAGCACTGAGGCGACGCGACAGCAATCGCTGCATTATGGATGCCTAGTATTTGATCGTAACAGCGGTGTAGTGTCGCATTATGTCGAAAAGCCAAGTTCATATGTTTCTACTTTTATTAATTGTGGTGTGTACGTATGTTCCACGGATATATTTGCTCATTTAGCCGAAGTATTTTATTCAAAAAGTCAGGAGTACACAAATTATAGTTTAATTAACGGCGCCAATGGCAAAGATCAAGGACATATACAATGGGAACAGGAAGTTTTAACACCACTTGCTGGTACCAATAAACTCTACGCAATCCCAGTACCGAATTGGTGGTCCCAACTAAAAACGGCTGGTTCAGCCATTTACGCTAATCGCCATTTTTTGGGTATATTTTTCCACTAAAATAAATGGTTGAGAGCTTAGTAATTTCCAATAACATTTATTGTAGAACTTTACAAAAATACACATCCAGAAAGACTGGCTAACGCTGGAATAAAGCTAAGTGAACAGGACTCTAATTTGATGTGTACAATTTTCCCCGATGTTTATATTCATCCAAGTGCCACAGTTCATTTCAGTGCAACGGTTAGTCCAAACATATTTTTCTATTGTTAATAATAAATTTGCGTTAAATTAGCTGGGACCAAATGTTTCTATTGGACCAGGAGTTACTGTTGGGCCAGGCGTTCGAATTCGAGAATCTATTATACTTGAAAATGCAGTCATAAAGGATCATACATTGATATTGCATTCAATTGGTATGTTAAACAGTTATTATCAAATTAATACCAATTAATCATATATATTAATTTAAAAGTGGGTAGGGGATCCATAATTGGGCAGTGGTCAAGAGTAGAAGGTACTCCGTCTGATCCCGATCCGAATAAGCCATTTGCCAAAATGGAAAATCCACCGCTATTCAACAAAGAGGGTAAACTTAATCCTTCAATTACGATATTGGGTAAGAATCACTATTTTCTTCCAAATTTTTTGTAATAAATCGTGCATTTAATAAATAAGCTATTGAGACGTAAATAATTTTTTTCTCATCTTTAATATTGCCAATATATAGATATAGATCATTTTTAATAATTTTCTCTTTTTAGGATGTTTTGTACAAGTGCCGTCTGAGAAAATTTTATTGAACAGCATCGTCTTGCCGCACAAAGAATTGTCTAGAAATTTCAAGAATGAAATAATACTGTAAATTAATATTAGAATATTCAAAGTTTTGGTTTTTAATAAGTTCATTTTGTTCTATATATTAAAATTTTAAGTTGGTCCTATGTCTAATTTTTGTATCTCTACTTTGTGCAGTATCTCTCGATTTTTTCTTGGAATTGCACAATACTTCTGCAAACTAAGTGCTAAAGTATTGCTTTAATAATAATAGTTGAAACGACCGGAACATTTCCGAGTTCAAGCAGGAGATACTCTGTGAATAGTCCCCGCTGAGTGGTAAATTTGGTGTTGGTTAGAGAGAGAGTAGGTGAGACCAGACCAGAAGAAGAGTATTAGATGAGACATTCAAAAAGGTTATTGTCATGCTCATTGCATGCTAACATATATTTGGTACGTCGGCGTCGATTCTGGTTAAGTAGGAGTTTAATCTGCTGCAGTATCTTAAACGAAGTTTCACACTAAGTGAAGTGCGTCTTTTATTGAGAGGTAGTCGGTAAAGGTGTTAATAGGTCCAGTGTAAAGGGCTGTCAGTGTGCGTCTGAAGTAAGTTGCGTCCGAAGGCTCGTCGGCGTACTAATCAATGTCGTCGACGTAGTCAAGGAAATGCCTCCTGAGGTTCTTAGGAGGTGATTCCGCTTCAATCAAGCGGGCAACTCCCAGTGATAGTTCGGAGTGCATTTTTCTGACACGTCTGTGAAGATTATTCATCTTCGATTATTCATCTTCGTTTCACTACATCGAGGAGACCATATCGCAGCAGCGTAATTATGACTGCTTCAATGTTGTCTAGAACGTTTCTGTACCTTTGCTGCATGAGATGCCGGATAGCGGCTTGGGGATTTTGTTGCGGCTCTGTACTTTGGTAGTTAACGCAATCGTATGAGAAGTGAAGGACCACAGGCTGTAGAATATTACACCTAAAATCTTTGAATTATTGATTGTCAGAAATTTAACGAAGTCGATTGTAATGTTCGGTCGGTACTCTTTCGTCCAGTTCGTGAAAATGCTTGGCCTGTACTCAGTGGGGGAGAGTGTCAAGCTCAAAGACTCACAAATTCCAACATATTGATAAAGTCCAATATTCCGTTGGGTACTATTGAAACGATGCAATCCCTATTTGGAAACATGGATCCAAGTGCCTTAATCCTGCGTCTACGGACCACTGTGCAGTCGATTAGCAGGTCTGGTGTTTCAGACTCCCTGTCGCAGAAACGCTAGTTTACGCAAGAAGATAAGCCCTTGTTGTGCAAATGCTTATTCAGCTTGCAGTGGCCAATGTAAAATGCGACCAGTAGCCTGAGCTTATCCCTAGGAGGTTAATTGCATATTTAAACCTGCTGAGATTGTACTCTCCCCATTAGCAACTTGAAATCTCACATGCAGTTGTTGCAAATGCTTTTCCCTGCCTTCTTTTTTTTCCTTGCGGAGGAAATCCTTTATGATAAGGGGACCCACTGCAGTGAAGGTTCCAAGTCCTATCATGTAAGTGGAAGCTACGGGCTCACCCGCTAGTTCGTTACCGGCAATACCTTTATGACCGGGCACCCAGCCGTTCAGCACACCAGCACCAGTAGCGATTTGATCTTGTAGGAGATTGCTCTTAACGGCGCTTGACTATAGCTAAGTATGGTTATAAGCTCATTGCGATAGTTGCGTTGTAGGTTTATCTCTATGCACCGACTTATGGCAAAGACTTCTGCCCGAAAAACACTCGGAAAACTTGCCATAGGTATGGAGAGCTTGGTGCGTGGTCCTGCGATCTGTGCACCGATTTGCTCCGACGTTTTCGAACGGTCAGTGCACCATTTGATTGTACTATTTCTCAGCAGCAGCTCGTTCCGCTCATCTTTGCTGCCAAGGACAACTTTGAACTTCTTCGTGAAGTTAATTCTTGAGAGAAGGGCCAATGGTATAGTGCCACTTATCTCTTTCATCCTCTGGCACGACATTACCTTGCCTTTGCTACATGCCTCTACCCTCATTTGCTGAAGTGTGTGCTTGGCTACCTAACCGATCATTAAATGAAGTGGTGTGAGTTTACAATTTAGTCGTTGCAGCTTTGATAGTTGGAGCTCTACCGAAGCCTGAGAACCTTTTGAGACCCAGGCAACCATCATTATGTACGAGTACAACCACCTAACAATCCTTAATTTGCAGTCCCAGGCCTTTCCCGCCAGCCGATTGTACACCATTAGTGCCATTATAGCGTGAGGCCAACCATGTTGGTCATCTCTATCTCTCTGTCCTAGGGACCTACGTCTCGTGGACGGGACAATGTTTATCTAAGAGAGGTTGATGTTCAATTCAACCCCACTGCACCACCCTTTTGCCAGGTTTAAATATCTTTGTTGTTGGTCACAGAGAGTATCCTCTGACTATAATAAAATACTTGCACCACGATAAGGTGCTCACCATTCGCAGAGTAGCGTCGTCTGGTTGTTTGCGTCAAAAGCTTTTGGCAAAGCCAACGCCTCGAGGACTGTTTTTTCACATACTGGCTTTTTATTTACTCCATGAACTATATGGGTGGTTATGATGTTAAGTGCTGTGGTGTGTTGTGCATTTTGTGGAAGCCATGCAGTTGCATTGCTAAAATCAGGTGTTGTGTGAAGATCGGGAGTAGGAAAGCTTCACTACTAAGGAAAACAGAGTTATCGGAAGATAAGACCCCCCTTTCTTAGCGGGTTTCCCAGGTTTTAATAGTGGGACTGCTCCTTAGTTTTTCCCGACATCGGGTACTTAAAGAGTGAAGGGCGACAGGCTGAGGATCCTGGTTTAGAATCATACTCTCGATGAACGTAGGTGCATTAGCATTAGCACGTTTATTCCAATTGGGCAATCGCGTTACTACTGATTGTTTGA